AGTAGGGTGTATTTATACAAGCTGGGTAAATCATACTTCAATGCTTGTATCATTGGACTAATCTTGACAATCTTGGAGATATTAAAAGCTGAACTGGTCCAGGCTCTGAACAGCCTGCCCTAGGCTGAGCCTGGCTTGATCCTCAGTGCCTCTGCCTGGACAGACAACATCCAGAGATCCCTTCCCACCTGAAATATTTGCCGATTCTCAATTTTAGAAGTTTGACTGTGTTAACAAAGCTCTTGAGGACCAAACCTTCACTCAAGTTGTAACAAAAAACACAAGTCCGTGCCCTTACGTAGAAACATTAATGCCTGTAAAAACATGATCTAGAGTCCAACTACATGAGTTTCAACTATCTTTGTCCCCATAAAACAGCCTGACAATACCACCTGCCATCTCATACTTTCCAGTTTGACGATTTCTTAATATTTAAATGCTTTGGGGTTATTTTGGTAATAATCCTGTTCCAGCAGAAAGCTGGATAATGGGACACTTCTGCCCAGCTCATTCAAACCCAAGACGACCCTTTATGGCTCAAGACAGCTGGAAGGTCAGAGACCACTTTTAACATCTCATAGGTTACAAGCCCATGGGGAAGAGCCCATGCCATGCATTCAGCCACTGCCAGGCAGCTGAGGCTTGCACGGGGCTGCCAGCTCCCAGGGTCAATATCCGTTGGACCCTTAGAAACGTCTGCTCCCTGTTATGAGTTTTACATCCTGCTCCAGTAATCCCAGTTCCTCCTGTTTGTTAAGGAAGCCCCTCATAGTATGGTTAGGGCATAGGGCAATGTACAGAGACCTTAATTATCTCTTATCTCACTCAAATTCTTTGCTGAACTAGATAAACCGGCCACGTGCCTACCTAACAACTGAGCTCACCAACAGCGAGGTGTTCCTCTGCTTTCTGTCCTCCTCCTCTCCGTCCCGCCTCTGTAGGCTGACCCAGCTGCCCTTCCTCTTCCTCCACTGAGAATGCGTGACGTTGACTTCAAATTCTCCAAAACCAATTGCCTAATCTTAAAATGTGTCGGATGAGGAAGCCCTGATTTCAGAAGTCTTGTGTGCTCCACCTCAGAGTATGTCTGTGGTAAAGGCTCTTCCCATCCTTGCTGCAAAATGCTTTTAACAGCCTTGGAGAAAAATACCCCTCTTAGCCCAGCCTCTCTAAGCACTCCAGATCTCAGAAAAGTTGATTGTTTTTGACAACAGTGTAGAATATATATATATTTTATATCCAGATGAGACTTGCAGAAGATGACACACACCTCCTTCCAAGGTAACAGCACCAGGCACCCTAGATCAGTCTGGGTGAGCTGTGCCTGAAGGAGGATTTTGCTCCAGTTCCCGGGACTGCCAGCCCTCCAGAGAAATGGGGCTCACCAGTAAAGCACCCAGCACAGCCCTGACGTTCTTCTTTTAACCTCTCCCACAGTTACAAAGACAACTAGGACATAAACCCCAGATCTGCTATCTGGGAAGCCAGAGGTCGTTGTATCTCCCCACCTCGTCTAGCTGGTCTCTCTCCTGTCTACCCAGCCCCTAAGCCCCACTCAAATTCCTCTCTTGGGTGGCAGCTGGTAACAACAAATCAGCATCCACAAGGACATTTCCTCTGCTAGGTGGAGTAACGTAACCACATGCCTTACTCGGATGAGAAAATCCACCTACCTTGGTGGTGATGCCGGTGGAGTATAAAATGCAAGTGCAGAGGGAAAAGGCTGCTTTTTCAGTGCTTGGACAAGATTAGGCTTATACTCTGGGTCAACGCACCACAACGAACCTTTTCCGTTCACCTGCAAGAAAGAAGTGCAGCAAATTAGAAAATCCAGGGGTTGGGCTCTTACAGTCATTTCTAATTTAACATTCCTGAGACGCAGCGCAGCGCAATGACACAGCCATCCACCGCTGTGCAGCTGACGTACATACACCTTGTGCAACTTTACACAATCCTGTAAAAGCATCTTGACAGATGCCCAGATACAAAACGGATTACTCCCACTTTTTCAAAACCTGAAAACCTAATTAATGTATGTTTGATGCACCTAACAATGGAAGCACCGCTGTGCTAGTCATTCTTGATATTAAATTGGATATGCTGAAAGTTAAGCAAGATAAAGCACCTCCTGCTCTTCTCAAGGGTTTCTTCACATATTTACTGTATAAAGAAAATAAACTGTTTTTTTGAGCCCAATAGTTCTTGCAACATAAAGAGGAAAATTAAACAGGAAAAGTTTAAAAATTCTATAATCACTGAGCGGACAGATCAGCTAACAGCTCTACAGGTAGCAGCGCCAAGTTTTCCAGGGGAAAACACCTTACAAGAGTGGTCCTGCACACGGCAGAAGGATGGGGCAGCTCTACACCTGAACGGGATTTTGGGGGGAAAAGTCTCGCAGAAACCCAAGCTTTGTGGAATACCTCCTGTGAGCTCACAGCAGCCAGCTATCAAGGGAGTATTAATAGCATTGTATGGATGACTTAAGACTGAAAAGGACCCACAAAGCATGTGAGCCCGTGGCCCTATTTAAGTCAGGGGGCTTTTCCTGAGAAGAGGAAATACTTTGCTGTCACTAGAGAAAAATCAAACCAGGGAGGGCTCCAGCTGAGAAAGAGATGCTGCTCTGTAATTTTACTTGAAGCCACTGCCTTTCGTAAAGATCTCTGACCTGGAGCATCTCTCAGAGTCATTTATTTTTTTTAACTTAAATCTTTCTTAGATTTTCATGTTAAAACTGAGCACAGCCTGTAAGATACCCATCAAGAAGCTTACCTTTAATGAAACAGCCATGGCGGCTGCAGGATGATTTAGCCAGATAGGTACTAACAGTGGGGACCCTCCCGACAGCCTGCATCCATCATCTCACTGACAGACTAACCTCCTGATCCCGTTCCTGCACCTCTCCCGGACCCCTTCCCCAGCACCCCAACCCTGTCCAACGCTGGCTTGCTTTTTTTTTTTCCCCCCTCCCTTTAGTAGCTCGGAGGCTGTTGCCCTCAGGGGGGACCAGCAGCCCACTGCTCTCCACTGTTTTATCTGATACTCTAGCTGAGCACTTCTACTTGAGACCTAACTCAGTTCAGCTGGGGCCTGCAGCCAGAATGGGGTTAGCTTCCCCCTTTCATCTTCCCAGCCACATACTCCCGTAATGCTACGACAACTTAACACAAGGATTTTGGGTGGGTATTGCAACAGCAAGCTGAACTGGAGCACACCCTGAAGCCATACAGTCGCTCAGTCCAATGCAAGAGGCAATGAAGAGGGTGACTTCTTTCTTGGGTAGTTAGATTGGGTTAGGTGTAATGTCAACCACGCTTCCACCCACTGTTATTTGTACTAAAAGCAGGCATTGAGCAAAAGAGATGATGCCCTCGGGGCTGCTCCTGTGCACTGTGTCACTCCCATCTGCTGCTTAGCAAAGACACACGGTGGAAATAAGCACAAACACAGGCTGGGAGGAGAACG